TATTTCAGTATGTTTCCTCTCATGATACTTGACCATCCTGATTAAATTGTTTCCAATTACTTGACTCGTATTGTTGGCATGGTGTGAGGGAACTTTTCTCCTGGACTGAGGTGAAAAATGTCAAACTTAACCAGCTCTCAGTGGACGCGGCCATAGAACTATATTTGGCATGATGTCTATGTGTGACACGGTACAAATGCTTCTGACGCAACTCACATAAATACCAGACTATCATTTTAAAGGGGTCATATGATGCTTTTTTAAAGATCATTATTTTGTGTATTTGGTGTAACAGAATATGTTGACATGCTTTAATGTTAAAAAAACACATTATTTTTCAAATACTGTACATTATTGATTGGCCGAACACCGCAAGCACTCGTCGGAAATGTAACGCCCCTTACCATAATCGCGAGCGTCAGCTTTCAAAATAAATGTAAAGACAGAGCCCGAAAGGGGAACAGAGTCGCGTGACAGACACAGTGATGAAGCTGGTATGTGTTTGCAGTACACAAGCCATGGTTAAGACAGCTGACTCCACTGTGATGTAACCCTGTCTCTCTCTCTCTTTCTCTCTCTCGCTCTCTCGCGCTCTCTCTGGCTCTCTCTCTCTCTCTCACACACACACACACACACACACACGCGCGTGCGTGCGCACACACACACTTTTATATTTAAGACTGTAAAGAAGGTTATTTGGTTTTGGATCCAAATCATTTCACAAAATGTGTCATTCATCCCATCTTAATGAAATCAATTCAAGTGTAAATGATAATACTAACATTTCACTTCCTTGAATGACTACAAAAAGACTTACTGCAACAGTTTTTAATATTCATTCAAGTTATGATCCTTTATCTTTCAGTCATTCATAATTATCGTCTGACATTGAGATGAACGTCAATGTTTTTATGTCATTGTTTCTGAGTATCTGAGTTCTGATATATACAAAATAAAAGTAAGAACATTTTTGAAGCTTTGAACTTTGATTTTATGATAAAATAGATTACACGAGTCACACAAGTTTCCTTTTGTGACGGTAAACATAATTTTTTTAATTGTGTGTACTGATAATAATCATGCATTTAGCAGTATAAAGAACTTAAGTGGGTATATTTTAATATTACATTTAAATAATATTTTGTTAAATTTGTACTTAACTAGTGAAACTGAATACTTAAATTACATTTCCAAGTCAAAATTCATGCTTTTTTACTTCTTATTTAATTAGACATTCATAGAACAAAATAACTGTTTAACAGGTTACTATGACTTAAATATTTCTTCTTAAATACATATATTATTCCTATATAATCATCTATTTCAAAACCTAAGAAATAAATGTTTACTGATGTTTAATTGCTTTTGAATATGGAAACTGGGTAACACTTTACAATAAGGTTCCATTTGTAAAAATTAGTTGATGAAAAATACTTCTAATTTACTAGTTCATTTAATTTCAACATTTACTAATACCTTATTAAAAGTACAAGTTGTAGGCCTATCGGTTAATATTATTTGATGGAGTAACTAATGGGACCTAATTGTGAAGTGTTATGGAAGCTTGTTTACTTGTTTTGGCTACATGCTTTGACTAAAAACATAGACCTAATAGGCTACCAGTTCTTTTATTATTTATGTCAACATTAATGGCCAAAACATAAAAAGACAAACTGCTTTGCTTTACGAGGTCAAAGCTTTGAAAATGATCAGTTTTTCCAGCGTGACTTGAGATTACAGACAGTATGAGTTGATGGAGCTCAGGCTGCATTTGTTTGTAATGTTTTGTTTCTGACATTCTGAGATCAGACGTATTAACACAAGAGTGTGTGAGTAAATGACTCATTCCTGACCCATGAACAGCTCACAACTTATGCCTGCTGGGACACGTGTGACTGCCCAATACAACAATTACTGAACCCTCTAGCGGTGTAAGAATAAAACTAAAAGTTACTCGTGGAGGAACATTGTTTTGGTCGTTAAGCGAGTTGTGCTGCGGCTCCGCTGTCCTGCGCGGATGAATCTGATGTTTTGGGGCACCACTGTGATAATGATCGCTTTATCAGTGCAAATGACATCAAAACACAACTAATAATGAAGGCTGATATCCAGGAATATATGTCTTATGAGCAGGTAAGCAGCCTATATGACGCTGTTGTTATAACTTGTTATAATAATGTTACAAAAGTCTGGCAGCGCTGAAACAATATCAGATAACTGATATAGGCAACTAGTTATAGGCAAATAGAAAAAAGAAGTAACTGGTTTGGTATAGTTACCAAAGTAAACAATGTTTTGTCATCATGAATCATGTTGATTCATGTTTTATTACGAGTTCTGACGCTTTCCGGTTTTGCTTGCAAACTCTTTTTGTTTCGAGGTTCAGTTGTTGTGGCTTCAAGCTACGTATACGATAGTAACCTGACCTCCTTTCATTTATTCACAGATATGACATGTACATGTGCAGACCAATGATGAAAGTATGCAGTTTCCCGGGAAATCCGTCCTGACAGCTGTGAGTCATGCAACCAGAAAATGTAAAATACAAAGCTTGACAGTTAAATTTAACTTTTATTAATTGTCACATCATCAATGTTAGCAACTCATTCACTTATTGCACATCCTATGATACAAATGATTTACACACAGTACACTGTTAAACAGTCTGATAATGTACATTATACAATAATGTGGCTGAAATTATGAATTATGAAATTATCCCTTCAAAATGCATTATGAGCGCTTACGTGCTGCTACATGCTGATTGGTCAATCCAGTGTATCACTGCAAAAATCAGCAGACCAACTATTAACCTGGAAAGATGCCACTAAATTAATTTGCTTAATAAAATGCCATGTTTATTGCTGTTATTGTGAAATTAGTCACTCTGCTCTGTGTCGAGCTGAAAAATATTTGTGACGTAACACTTTACAGTAAGGCCTCATTAGTTAAAGTTGATGCATTTACTAACAAAGAGCAATTCATTTGTTACAGTATTTATTCATACTTGTTAAATACCACTGTTTGTTGTTAGTTTATGTAATTCAATTTTAATAATGTATTAGTAAATGTTGAAATTTATGGAGGATCTTACTCGTGGGAATGAATAAATACAAAAATAAATGAATGAATTAATTTATTTTAAATAAATAAAAATACAGTTACAACTAAATTAAGAACATACTAAATAAAGGGGGAAAATACAAAAAAAAAATATTTTTTTAAATAAAAAAATATTTTATTTGTATTAGCAAGTCAGTTATTCCTTTAGTGATTTTCCTATTATTACATTTATTCATTTATTTTTTTATTTTTGCAAGTTTGGTTCTCCATAGAAGTTAACATTAAAATTAATAAATGCTTTAGTAAATTTTATTATTCGTTCATGTTAACTGATGTAGTTAACAAATAGAACCTTACTGTAGTGTTACTGAGACATTTGTTATAAGAACTCACTGTATCTAATTATTGATATATCAGAGTACCCATAAGGCATTATGAAGGGAGGGAAAACAAGCTTCGCCTCCTGTGATGTCATAATGAGAAGTACGGTGGAGCTGCATGACAGAGTCTATGTACATGGATTACTTACAGTGAATTCAGGCGACTCACTGTGCCAAACACTTCAGCTGTGTTAAGAATATCATACTACCGTACTATTTCTACAGTATGCATGGAATTTTTTGTATTTACTGTATGAATACTGTATTCCACTATGCAACACATTCAACTTGACCTTCAATTTCTAGTGTGATGAATGAAAAGTAAATCATATCAACCATGATCAACCTTGCTGACTCATTTGATAAAACTGCATTAAAATGAGATAAGTGGATTAAAACATGCAATGCCATGAGGTCATTTGACAGCAGTAAGAAGCGTTTATGATTGCATACGGTTTCAATTAGGGTTTAAAGTAAAAAATAAGTATGCAGTGCATACTATGCAGTATGCTAGCATTCCATTCGGAACACAGCCCCTGATACTTATTAAAGACATATATTACAGTCGTAAAGTTCCAGCGAACATGACCTGCTGCCTGTGTGTCACACAGTATCAGCTCACTTTATGAGAACACAGCCTCATTCCACATTCACTGTTCACGTGGCATACTGTACATTTAATCAGATAAGTTTAAAAGTCAACATGAAGGTCGGGCTTCTTTTTAAAATAATTCCTGATTTGCTATTATTGCTGTAAACTTGCATTAATGTTAACCACCATTGAATTGCTGCATTAAAGAAATAGTTCGACCAAAAATGATCTGAAATTAGCTGAAATTGTCCTCACCCTCAGGCCATACAAGATGAGTTTGTGTCTTCATGGGAACAGATTTGGAGAAATGTAGCAGAGTGCATCACTTGCTCACCAATGAATCCTCAGCAGTGAATGGGTGCCGTCAGAATGAGAGTCCAAACAGCTGATAAAAACATTATAATAATCCACAATTTTAGTTTTTTTCCTCAAGACTTTTTTAACTTCAAACCTTTACTTCTGACTAAAATACTATAATCTTTTTAAAATAGTCTATAATCCATAATAACGCTTCCTCCAGTGAAAAAGGCCATCTCCTGTTGTCTCTCACATCAAAATCCAGCCACATATTTGTTTAGAGCTGTTTTGGCTTGTAAACACTGCTTGATCTGTGCAGATTTCTCTCCTGATTCAGACCAGAACACTTCTTCCACTGGAAGAAGCATTATTGTGGATTATGTACTCATATTTTAGTTAAAAATGCCTTAATGATAGATTTGTTTCTTACAAACACGTAGCTTTTGCCTTCTCCAGACATTAACTGATGGACTGGAGTGGATTACTTGTGGATTATTGTGATGTTTTTATCAGATGTTTGGACTCTCATTCTGACGGCACCCATTCACTGCAGAGCATCCATTGCTGAGACACTGATGCAATGCTACATTTCTCCAAATCTGATGAAGAAACAAACTCATCCTAATCTTGGATGGCCTGAAGGTGAGTTTTCAATTAATTTTTTTAATTTTTGGTTGAACTATTTCTTTAACCACTTACAAGATTTTGGAAAAGATTAAAAGATCTACAGCAACAGCCCAAAACTATGACTAAATAATCATTTGGCGCTTGGTTGTTTTCATGGCAATTGTCCAATGAAAGATTACAACATGATTTCATGTTGACTTTAAACCTGTAAACTGCTGCATTATGTAAGAGACTGAATGTGTTTCTCATTGTGGAAGCGGTTGGCAGGTGAACATGGATAAACTGACAAGTCAAGTTAAAAACATCCCACGTTCTACATCTGTACAACACAATGACTGTTACACAAGATGTTTATTTTGCGCAGATGTTCCTCTTCTGTTAGAAAAGAGTCTGTGAGCGTTTGTTTTCTCTCTCGTTCACACTTACTCAACCGCGGTCCGGTTGTGATCCAGGTCAAAGGTCAGTGTGTATGGAAAAACTGCACTGTAGACAGAGCACCACAAACATCATTGTTGTGTTTTGAGATGATTGTTCTTCAAAGGAACATCTTTGGAAAATGACATGCACAGATGAATCCCTGCCTTGAGGTGTATCTGTAAATGAGAAAAATATCATTCACAATCACTATATTGATCATTTTAACCCTCCTTTAGATTTTTAGGATCATTGTGTTTTGTATGTATCAACAGTTTTGCTTTCTACTCGTGTGAATGGGCGAGTCTTACAAAAAAATAATGTATGGCTGCATCCAAAAGACTAGGCAGCTGCCTTATCAGGCAACGACTTTGCAGGCAGCGTTTTTGCACGAAGGCACCTCATGAAACGGATTTCGGACAGGCTTCTGAGGCAGCGTAACGGTTTAATGATCTACAACAAAATAGAACGAGTTTTGGTGATAACTAAATGAATATTTAATTACTACAACACTGATTTCTTGCTAGAAATAACATCAAAAGTGCAAAAAGAAGGCAGCATTTTAGAGCTTTCGGACGGCCTATGAATGCATACATTTTTTTAATTTTTTTTAATGTCTATATAGGTTTAGTTTTTTTTTATTTCAGTTTCAGTTAAGTACATCAAGTTAAACTAAAAAAAAAAGAAATGTTTCATTTTTATATAGTTTTTTTTTCAACTAACATTTTTTTTGGTTAATAACCCTTTCAGAGTTATGTTATTTCATATATGTTCAATATTTAATATATAAACATTTTATAGATTTAATATATTACATATAATCTTGCTGAGCAAATAACATGATCAAAATATTAATTTAAATATATTACATACATCTTATTAAATAATATAAATATATAAA